GTATTGGAATGCTACCCACAAGTGGACGGAACGAGCCGTTTCCATGACAAGACGTTTCATGCAAAAGCGAATGCACCCGGTGGAACCAATTCATCCAAACAAGGGTGAGCCAGGATGAACATGTTGGATCTAGAAATTGGTTTCCTGCGGGCTGTCACGGATCTACACCCATTTGGGCCAAACCTCCCGACAATGGGCTTGTCGAACAGGGGTCTGCTGAGCTTGTTCGGCAGATGGCTGTTATTTGGCAGCATCAACATTCCGGAAGAGCGCATACGGAGGACGAAGGCGACCAGAAGATATGCATGCATGCCTGTGACCTTCGTGGAACAGGCCCGTCGGCATTTCTTGTCCCGGTCCCCTGCTACCAAGACACCCTGCCCTTGAGGTCTTGCAATATCAGCGGCTTTAAGATCCCGTGGTCTGGGTTCACTGGCCGATTTACGTTACCTGACGTCCCCCAATGGGTCATACATGCTATTCAAGAGCAAATATAGCAACGCAGGGTATATTTGAAGAAGTGCCAATATGAAATGCTCAACCCCCCTTTTGCGGTGTTGTCCATTCAAGCGGTTTTGGGGTGCGCGCCCCTCGGGAATTCCCAGTATCATCTAGAACAATAATACAGGGTAGTACAAAAAGCAGACAAGGAAGTTCAGCCTCTTCTTTCTCACCGTGTTCCTTTTGCCTCTCTTTTGGAATGGCTGTACGAGGTACTCCGTACTGCATCTCGGCTCGTGCCGCCAGTCGTAATGCAACGTCCAGACTCAGCGACATGATGGGCGTCCTTTTTCCACTTTGATTTGGTCTTCTCTCTTTCCATGCCACTAGCTCTTCTGGGTACAGGTTGGACCATTGTTTGACCTGGATATTTGGCAATCAGCTCTCATCATTTACTTGGTCTGATCTGCGTTACTTCAATTTGACCAAACGGCCTGCCAATACCAAATTATACATGTTCCATGGCTTGATACAACTCGTGTCAGTCAGCATGGGATGTGAGACTTTTCGGGGCCCCATTTCCACATGCCAAGCGATGCGTCGTTGCATTCGAAAGGGGCCCTCTGTCCTGCCGTAGGTTCCACCGCATTGGAAGGCAATACATAAATATTTGCTCACCTCACGTCACTCCACGCTACCGGTCACGAGCTGCGGTACATGAAGGCGGGAATATACTCATTGCCTCGGACTGTACTTGGCACAACCATGGATAAAAAGACAGACATGACCTTGGACGATACCTGGTATATCTGTTGTCCGGTATACTTCTTGTGTTATTTCCCTGCAAAGGCCGCAACTTCAGCTTCTGTACATGGCCTGAATTTGACTCTGTTCTTCACGTGGTTCCACCATTTCCAATAACGACATGATAAACCGACGACTTCTATGGCCTGGCATTTCCCACCCAGTTGGCGATGAGTTATATCTTCCAACACTCGTCCTTGCTGCAGGCTACACTCCCTACTTGCCAATTAAAGAGACAGTCTCGTCATCCAGCCACGAAGCACTAGCAGTGGGTAGCAAAGTATACTATCTTCAAAATAACTGACTCTGCATAAACACCATCCCCTGCGACTCCATCTCTTCAATGGACACAGCTATCCTTGGAGCAGATGGACCTTACATCGGAGAAGGGAGAATAACCGGCCTCTTGGCGTCCCTTGTGGGAGAATCGTGCTATCAGATGCCAGACTGTCTCGCCCAATCAACCAGGTCGGGCCCTCGTATCACCTGCGTATGTCTCCCTATTTCTCCAAGAGAACTCTTCAGTATCTATGGATGCACGTTCACTGAACCTGGGGCCATGTATTGCGGCGAAAAGCCGGCTCCGTATGACACTCCTTACGTCCAACGTTTGTCTCACCCACTAGCATGTCGTCCAAGGTGAACAATGGGGGGTGGAACGCCATGCCACCCAGTCACCACATTCTCTAAGTCATACTTGTATCAATCGACCAGTTTTCCAGAATACGAGCTACGCAAAGAAACTAAGAGATGAGGGGGACGAACTGTTTGCAGCCACATCTACCTAAAGACGACGGAAACCGTTACTGAGATGAAAATACCATCTAGTTCTGTAGGATGCCCGCTACGAGTAGACACGTCATCTGTTCCATTGTTACTGCCGTGACGGCAATAAGGATAGCCCAAGCACGTATGATGGCATTCAGATCAACATCTTGCAACGATATCGCCAAAAGTATACCACGGCGGTGCTTCACATGCAGTGTAGGCACCGACTCCAAGTACACTCATAGCTCGCCAACAATGTGGGATCTCCTCAAAGGCTCTCTGGCAGAGAAGTCTTGATCATCCTGATTCACCACGACTTGAGCTTGGTTTACAAAAAAAAAAAAAAAAACAGCAAGGTCGCTTCCGAAACATGATTGAGGTCTTTGCCACGAAAATGAGCGGCTCGCGGAAACATGCGCCTCTTTTCCAGTGCCATTAAGACTCTGCAAAAACAGGCACGCGACCTCAGCCGGTCGACGAAAAAAAAAAAAAAAAAAAGTATACTCCGTATAAGCGGCCACAAAAGAGGCTGTTGTCCCACGTTGCGCGGAGACTGCGCAAAGAAGGGATCCGTTGGCCGCCATCAAGTCAAGGGAGATGTTGGATGCCACTACAACACGGTAGGAAGTCGAGCAAGACGCGGTTCAGACCGACACAGCCACGGCGGGTGGGTACTGAATATGGAAGCATGTCTCGCCGGCAAAGACTCTCACGAGCGCCCATCTTGTCCCGTGCCACACACGATAGTCTCAGTGGTGATGTCTGCCTGGGGAAGCTTTCCTTTTGTTGCGCCGCCTTTTTATTCGACTCGTCATATTTCTCTTGAGGCGCATTTGTTTGCAAACGGGCTCGCTAACGTGTTTTTCGTAAGGGTGGATGGGTGCCCCGGTAGCACTTTGTTTCGAGATGGTTGCAGCTGAGCGAAATTGGGAAATATTTAGCGACGGTCACGAGCCTCGGTGCTACGGGAGTCTCGGGTCTTCTCGTCGTCCTCCCTTGTAATTTTTTTTGTATCGTTCGGCCAAATAAGATGGTTTTGCCCCATCTTGGGCCCTTTTCTGGCGCCATTTCTTGTTCCTACTTGTTCAACTTCATCCTATTCCTCTGAATCCCATTCACATCAGGATTTACGGCCTTCTTTGCGATGGCCATGGTTGATGACCATCTTCAGTGGAGTCGTTCGCGCTTCACGCATCTAGAGAAGAGAAGGATTGCTTGCGCGGACAGGAGGGATTGCGCAGATGGCTCAGAAACAGCTCAGCAGGGTGGTATTCACACTCCATTTTGGAGTCGAGGTTCCACCGCAACGAACCAGACCTAACCAAAGCAAGCAGGTACTTGGGGGGCGTTGGCTAGTTTGAGCTATGGCGTTGTCTTGCAGGCCGACTCGACGCGGGATGGTCCCAAGCCATTCGAAGCGTCCAAGGACAGGGGCCGCAGCGGAGGTCGTGCCCAATGGCTGGTGATTGATCATTGTAAATCACATCTCGGTAGCTTGGCCAGCCCATCACCATGACCTCGGCGTACTCTATTGTATCTGCATGTAGATGAATGCGTACGGTTGGTTCTCTACAACGCTTTGGGTGTCTCGAGTTGTTGTTGTTGTTGTTGGTTCTACCCCATCACTCCGGACAAAGAAGTATTATGCATGAAGCGCAAAGACCGTGCTCGCTCGTGAGAGCAATCTTGACGGGCATTAGTAATTAAGAGACAAGAAGTCTCTCTGGTGGCGCAAAAGCAGTTCTATGGGTTCAGCATCAGAGCCCGCCAACTCACCGCGGGTTTCACGAGATAAGCGCGCACAGGCTTTCCCACCCAGGACTGGTTAAGCACGGCGATTCCGTAACGAGGCAAGACTTGCGCAGCAGGCGGGGGTTGTGCTGCGCTGTCTACCTCTTCCCACGGCACGGGGTGAGTGCGTGCGTGTGTGTGGCAGAGCAGTTGCGCAAGCACCACCGCTTGAGCCGGTACCAACGGGATGGATCTGACGACGACTCTTGGAACGATAAGCTCGGATTGATGTCGGGTGTGTGCTTAGCAGCGTCGTGCGCTCGTACCCGCAACTTTGGCATCGTCCTGTGAACAAAACGCCCCCCCTCGTGATAGCATGGTACTCGGTATAGGCGTTTGGGCAGATCGGACTACGAAGAATGTCGACCTGGTTGCATCAGCAGTGGACCTCTCAGCCCATTTCCCACACGGCTTTCTTGGCCCTTTAAAAACGAGGACGACTGCTGCTGCTAATAAGCCGTCCCAGACGACGGCGTGGCAATCTAGAATACTGGGTGGTTGTGCATTGCGTGTTGCGTCGAGCCTTTCTGCCACGATCCTCCAGGCTCCGGGCTCCTCGCAGGGAGAGAGGGCAAGAGAAATTAATCGAGCTGCGTTTTTCCGTTTTGGGTACCCAATCGTTTTATTCCAAGTGTAAACTCCGCCGCAGGTCAGTGGGATGTTGTGCGTTCCCCCCCCCCCCCCTTTTACCCCCGGCCCCTGTTCG